ACGAGCACATCACTCATCTTGAGCAATGTTTCAAAATTCTGAATGAATTCGGAATGAAACTAAATCCAGCTAAATGTTCTTTTGGTGTTCCTTCCGGAGAATTCCTAGGATACTTTGTCACGGAAAGAGGAATAGAAGCAAATCCCAATCAGATTAACGCTTTCCTCATGATGCCTTCGCCAAAAAAAATTAAAGAAGTCCAACGATTAACAGGCAGAATTGCTGCGTTGAATCGTTTCATCTCGAAATCTACCGATAAATGTCTCCCTTTTTATCAAATTTTAAAAGGAAACAAGAAATTTCGGTGGGATGATCAATGCGAAGCAGCTTTCGATCAACTCAAAACTTATTTAACGACACCGCCGGTTCTCTCAAAACCTGAGTCAGAGAAGAAACTTTATCTTTACATCTCGGTTTCTAATCATTCTGTAAGTGGGGTTTTAGTTCGAGAGGATCGAGGTGGTCAAAAGCCGATTTTTTACATAAGTAAATCTCTTACCAGTCCGGAAACGAGATATACAATGATGGAAAAAGTAGCTTTAGCAGTGGTCGTATCCGCTAGGAAACTCAGACCCTATTTCCAATCTCATCCGATAGAAGTTTTAATTTCTCATCCGCTTCGCTCGATTCTTCACGGACCAAGTCAGTCCGGCAGACTAGCAAAATGGGCTATCGAACTCAGTGAGTACGATATAGAATATAAAAGTTGAACTAGCGCAAAAGCACAAGTTCTAACTGATTTTCTAACCGAACTACCGTTAGATGACGGAACCTTTGTTGAAACAGAGTCTACATGGAAATTACACGTAGATGGTTCTTCTTCTAAAAAAGGATCCAGAATCGGTATTAGGCTCGAAACTCCGACAAAAGAAATAATCGAACAATCATTTCGATTAATGTTCCCGACCTCAAACAACGAGGCGGAATACGAAGCTCTCTTGGCAGGACTTCGGCTTGCTCTTGCAATTGGAGCAGAAAAAATAATAGCCTACTGTGATTCTCAGCTAATTGTAAACCAGTTCGCTGGAGATTACGAAGCTAAGGCACCTCGAATGGAAGCCTACCTTTCGGCCGTTAGAAAGTTAGCTGGAAGATTCAAAGAATTCGAATTGGTTCGAATACCTCGAGACGAGAACACTTCGGCAGACGCTTTAGCTGCCCTAGCTTCTACCTCAAATCCCGAACTTAAGCGAGTGATTCCAGTTGAATGTATTACTTCACGAAGTATTTCGGATGAAGATAATATTTTGGAGATCGAGCATATCGGAACTCCAGAATTAAATACCAACCACAAGAACAGTTCGCTTGTTGTCACTAGATCTCGAGCAAAGTCTCAAGATGACAAGCTTACTCCACAAACAGAACTTCCTAAAAGAAAGCCGAGAAGAAAACTAAAAGATCAAGAGGTTCCCATTGAACAACCATCTCGAGCTGAACACTCACTTCCGGATACCACAAATAATAAAGAAGTTCTGGTAAATGATCCTGATATTCCTTCCGATCCGGAACCAAGGAAGTTTATACTCAAGGATAATACTTCCGCTAATGATTGAAGGGCTGACTGGAGGGTACCCATCAAAAATTTCATTCTTAATGGAGAACTACCATTGAACAAATGGCAAGCTCGCAAATTAAGAATCTTCAGCGCTAAGTATTGTATAATTAAAGAGTCATTGTACAAGCGAGGCGTTAGTGATCCTTATCTTTTATGTATTTTCGGACCCGAAGTTGAATAGTGACAAGCGAGGTCCACGAAGGGCTTTGCGGTAGTCATTCTTCGGGACGAGCAATGGCTTTCAAATCAAACGGTTGGGATATTTCTGGCCAACTATGATTTCTGACTGCATCGATTACGCCAAACGGTGTAAAAAGTGTCAGATGCACGCTCCTCTTATTCACCAGTCATCTGAATTTTTATCATCTATATCCGCTCCATACCCTTTCATGAGATGGTCAATGGATATAGTTGGTCCGATGCATCGCTCAACGCGAGGCGTCCAATACTTATTAGTTCTAACTGACTATTTTTCCAAATGGATCGAAGCTGAAGCTTACGTAAATATACAAGATTCTGTGGTAAAGACATTTTTGTGGAAACACATTATTTGTCGCCATGGAGTTCCTTACGAAATAGTAACGGATAATGGTCCACAGTTCATTTAAAATGAATTAAAAGATTTTTGTTCCTCCTGGGGGATAAAACTTAGCTATTCAACGCCGAGGTATCCCCAAGGAAATGGGCAAGCAGAACCTTCCAATAAAACCATTCTCAGTAATCTTAAGAAACGTTTGAATGCTCGAAAAGGTGGTTGGTATGACGAGCTACAACCTGTGTTGTGGGCATATCAAACAACCCCAAGATGAGCAACGGGAGAAACTCCATTCTCATTAGTATATGGAATGGAAGCAGTAGTCCCAGCCGAGCTGAATGTTCCCAATTTACGCCGGAGCGAAGCTCTACTTAACGAAGAACTGAATTCTAAATTATTAGAAGATGTTCTCGATACAATCAATGAAAGGCGAGACCAATCCCTTATTCGGCTTCAGAACTATCAACAGTTGACCGCTCGATACTATAACTCAAAGTTGAAAAACAGACATTTAAATGTAGGAGACTTTATTTTAAGGCGAGTATTCGATAACACAAAAGAAGAAGGAGCTGAAAAACTCGGTATTAACTGGGAAGGCCCTTATCAAATCACAGAAAAAATCTGAAATGGTGTATACCGTTTAAAAGACCTTGACGGAAATCCCGTTCAAAGGCCTTGGAACATCATCAACTTGACAAAGTTCTATTGCTAAAGCAAATATATCAAACTACGATTTGGCTTGATCCTATTTTGGGTACGTAGGCAGCTCGCTAAACACGAGTCCAGCTATAAAAATAAAAATATTATTCCAATCATGGAGTCTTGTTTTTATAATTTTGATAGTCGAGCATAAATATAAAAATACGTTGCGAGCAATGTATGAAGAAATATTTTTAGCTAAAGCAAAAATCGGATCTAGAAGGGTCTTGGATTACGGAATAGCTCTGCTCCTTGGCCTGCGAGGTCAACGATGTTCAGGATATAACCTGGCATGTTTCCGTACTCCTGTATGCCTATCTCGATCCAATCAGAGGGATGGGCTTCGAGGCGATGAAGCTCGCGAGCAATATCGAGGCGACGCCTCTGTAATTCCATTCTCTTTTTTCTAATCTCTTTTTTCTCATCTTCGAGCTCTTTATGCCGAGTAATAAGCTGAGAAAACAAAATGCTTTGTTTAACAAACAACGAAAGGAGTCAGGTTACTAGGTTGAACAATACCTTGTTAATAAACTCTTTAGCTTTAACACGATCTTGAGCTGATAGTCTCTCGATTAACACATTTGGAACCTGAATGTTGGTTCCCCACCCTAATGGGCGTGACTCTTCTGGTTCGCCAGTTGCTTCCGTTTTTACAAGCTCGATGTCTGACGTTTCCGAAAGATCATCGCTTATCTTTTTAAACGAGTCGGAGGGATTCTCTGAAGAATTACCTTCCTTGAACATTTTTGTAGAATTATTGTTGATTAAATTCAATAATGAGCTACACCTACTTTATATTTGAAATATACTCAATCACATTTAAGAGGATCAATTGACGATTTCCCAAAATCTGAGTTAATTACTAATTATATTCCCTAGATTAAACGCATTAAATAAGATTTGAGTAAATCGGCAAATTTAAAACAAAAAGGGAAATATAATTAATTTCGCTGGGCCACCAGCCCAATAGTATGTTACAAAAAAGAATAAAAATTAAGAAGGAGGAGGGTTCGCAGAAGTAACTTCGTCTATGACGAACCGTTTTCACGTTCGTCGGGTTCGAGGCTCCTTTGGTAGATATCCCAATGCTTCTTCAGGAACCTGATGTGTTCTCGAAGACAGCCAGGAATGCGGGCGATAGAGTCAAATCCCCTCCTCTCCCAGTTGTGAACGTCCAACTCCAAACATCGAATCTTCCTTTCCATTCTAGCAATCCGATCCTCGAGGTTACGGCGTTTCATTCCGAGGCGTTGCCTTTCGGAGCAGAGGAAAACGTACCTTTCCGTGATCTACAAAAAACAGATGCATTACAAATCTATCATGTAAAACCTTGAAACAATTGGTACAAGGTCCAAACTTGTTCCATGAATTCATGGCACTCGATCTGCTCTTCCTTAGACATGGAAGAAAGAAAACAAGGAATAGCCACCCCTTGTGGAGTGAATCCATCCCCCGTTGGAAAAAGAGATTCGCTTGAAGGGAATCGTGGTGGATTAGGATCAGAAGGTTTTCCTTGGGGAGAGGCCATCAAAAACAACTGCAAAGAAAAGGTTTATTGGGAAATTCCCAAAATCTTACTCTCCTTATATAGGAAAAATATGTAAGGTTACTCACTTGAGTATTTATTGAAAAAGGAAGTTAAACGTCAATCTATTGATTTGACAGTTACGACCTTTCGATTTTTGTGTACATGCACAAACAAGACCTACAAAACATAGGTTATTCAAGTATCACTTAACACCTAGTAGGCAAACTGAATTTCGAACGTGAAGTTCAAGGGCAGTTAATAAATGGTATTAAACCTTTTTTGTCCTTTTCGAGAAAAGCAAACAGTTCTCACTAAGATTTTTCTAAGCAAACACATTTCGAAGTATCACGAAGTGTTCTTGTAAGCCAAGCTCTAACCTCGCAACCGAGAGACCGAGGAAAATTTCTAATGTTTTTTCTTTAAAAAAGGCAAGTGGGTCTGATCAGCCTATCTTTCCTATAATTCTAAACCATGTCGGTTAGGAGGACTTTGCAAACCCTCCAGGTAAAATCGATGGTTTCCACCAAAATTAAATATTTCTTTCTAAAGAAATTTTAATTAAAAATCCCCTTGGGCAAAAAACTCAAAAAAAAAAAGTAACAAACGGCCCCATGGCCGACAAAGCAAGTTTTATGTTTTAAAATTAAAGGGACATTCCCCATAAAAGGTGAGTACAATCACCATCATTTATTCATAGGCGAACCGCCTCCACCTCCTACTTGGCTTAAGTCAGGAGCACCTCCGACAGCAGCATCTTGAGCTGTGAGAACAACCTCAGGGATAGGCAAGCTAGCAGGATCCTGACCAGAGAACTCCTGTGTTCGTTCCGAAGATATTTTGTCAACGTTGGTTCCGAATTCATTAAAATGAGCACTAGGGGAACCAGTTAACATCATTTCATCCAAAGACAAACCGGCATTAGGTTCGGTCAGTGGAGGGGAATCAGCGAACTCATAGACAAATTGCTGCAAATCTAAATATGGCTGAGGAGCAGTAGCTAGCTTAGCTTCAGTCTCAGCAAGCTCAGCGCCAACTGTCTCTTTTTCTTCGGCCAAATTAATCGATCCTTCCTCTATCTCCTTGATCAAATCGAGATTGCTCTTCAGCTCATCACGTTCGGAGTTAAGTTTGTTCCAAGCTTTATCCGCAGAAATAAATTCCTGCACGGCAAGAAGGAACTTTTGCCCAACTCCTTTAACCTCTTTCCGAGCATCATGAGATATCTTGCGAACATCCTGATCTTTCAGTTCGGAAAGAGATTCGTTTTTGCGTTCAAGCTCCTCAGCAGCTGTCTTGACCTTGCTAAGCTATGATCTCAGAAGTTCAATCTCGCCCTTTGCGAAGTTATGATCAGCAAGGGCAGTTTTCAGATTTTGCTCTGTCTCTGTCAAAATCTTCCTTGTCTCCTCGCCAGATCTTTCAAGTTGCTCGATTTCTTTCTGACGAGCCGAGTCGAGACCAGTCGTCTCCTTCGCAAGCTGGTTGGAAGATTGGAGTTTCTCAATCTCTCCTTCGGTAATAGCAGCTCTCTTGGAGACTTTGGTAAGCTCTTCTTCGTAATGGTTGATGATGCTGTTCACATCCAAGGTTGCCTGATAAAGCGAGATGCAATAAGAAAAAGGAGATTCAAGATCAAAGGTTTACAGACTCAAACAGTCAAACCTGAGAGGAGTGGAACGAATGACTGATATACATCTTCTTGATGTCATCCCTCCAGTGCCCAAAGGACGGAAGTTTCTTCCTAGAGCGAGTATGGAAACATCTAAAGATGTTTCCAATCTTCTCTTTATCTAAAGTAAAGATATTCGTATGAATATAGAATTCCTTAAAAAATCAGTTAAATCTCCGGTACCAAAAGGTTAATTGAGGATTACTTGATGGAGATGAAGCTCTGGCAACGAGTCCTGAGCTCGGAGATGATCGAGCTCTAGAGGTATTACCTCGAGGATGCCTGGGAGGTAGCATCCCTGAACTCAGTGGCTCTCTAAAAACAATTCCTGAATCATGATTTCTACCCTGAATATCAGCAGATTCAGGAATTGGAGGACTTGAAGAAATGGCTTCGGCTTTCCTCTTGCTCTTGGACCTTCCCTGAATCGGGGGTTCAGGACCCTCAGCCTTCCTCTTCTTCGTAAAAGAGGGGCCATCTAAGGGACCTCCTTCTTCAGCAGTGGCAGCAACCATGATGTCAGCTGCTGGGGAAAAGGAAGGGGCATTGTTTATGGTGACTGCCATTGACTTTGAACCTTCAAAGGACCAGTCATCAAGCAGGAGAGTTTTCTGGTAGACTTTTTCGTCCCCGACGGAGGATGCGTTTTTCTTGTTTTTCCCAATCTGGGAGATCTGATCTTTGACCTTCTTGTCCGCTTCTCTGATCCTTCTCCTATCTCGGGCGTTCAAACTCGAGAGATCAATCTCAGCAGGAGGAGGGTCGACGGGATGAGTAAGGCCCATTTTGACAAGAATGTCCGGCACCGTGAATTCTCTCCAAAGTAAAAGAATTCCAAGTAACTGGCCTCTCGAGGATGGCCTTGTAAATATTGAGGAAGTCAACAGAGGGAACTGGCCGAATTTGGGAACCTGCAGAAAAACGAGAAAGTGTTAAAGCAGTTTAAAATAGCCTGAGAAACTTATTTATTTAAGTCCTAGTTTCTACCCAAATTCGATGACCAGTGAGTTCGGAGGAGTTCGGAAGAACTCTGAACGGAAAAACTATTTATACGGAAGAAGAACCAAAACTTCTTCCAAGCGTTATCTTTTAAAGGCAGGCCATCAATAAGGTTCTGATCTGCGATCGGATAAAGGGCATAATGCCCAGAAGATCGGGATTCACGAGCCTGGAATAATTTCAAAAGCTCGCTAAGTCCCAGCGAGTAGCCCGCGTCCACCGCAACAGTGAAGGTACAAATAAGATACCGGAGCATGTTGGGCGACAACCGAGAGAAGGCAATTCCCAGATGATTGAGGTAGGTAAGAAGTGTCTCAGGAAGGGGAAGGAATAAGCCGCACCCTTTGAAATAAATTTCATAGGCACAGCAATACCCCTTTCGCACCGACTCTGGAGACTCGTAAGGCTCCGGGACCACCATCTCCACTTTGGGGGGAATGTGGCATAAGCGACGAAGATCGTTGAGAAAATCAACGGTCGATTGACTCTGGGGGTGAAGATCAAACTCGCCTCCAGTTTGGGTATGAGGTTCGGTTCCCTCACCCATGAGAGCTTCGAGATCATCAGCCTCATATTTGCGGAATTCAGAAGGGAGGTTCGACATTTTACGAAAGGGGTTTTTACCGAAAGAAAACAACGACTTCTGTAATATGAATGAAAGTTTTCTAGGTAAAGAAGATAAGAAGGAAAAGTAATATTACCTCTTAGAACCCTAAAAGTACGATGGAAGACGGCCTCGAGAATATTGGGAAGTGGGACGGTTTTCCCCGCAGTATTAATATAAAATTAAGAAATTAATGATGACGGTTGTCAGGGATATCAAATCACTTGATTATCCAAGATCGGCGTAATAGCGTAAAACATGGAGTAATTCCAGAGTGTTAAAGATCTCAATTCATTAATTACTGTTTACTTAAGTCTTCCAAGCCGAACACTCAGCTCGCAAGACTTGGGGGGGCTAAATGTTGGGGTCGGATCCCACACATCTTCAGTAGGATCCACTTGGATCTGTCCACGTCATTATTACATAATAATCCTCTTGGAATTAAAGATATTTTATTATAAGAATCGAGCTTAACCAGTAGGGAGTTTGGTTCAGTCTAGTAGAAGAGCTCGATTCTTGCCAGTATGGAGTTTGCTCTTATTCGACAAACAGTTCGCATAGAGAAAGGCCGAAGCGAGGAGAATATTGTTCAAGGCTCGCAGTAGCGTCAAAACGCGGGAGTTCGGAGTCCGCAAGAAAGAGTTTGGAAGATCCAGGCGAAGCCCAAGATAGTTCAAATTCAACCCGTTTCGGTCAAATTGTAACCTACATGATTTTAATGCGGATCAATGCGATTATGAGTAGTAAATGACCGCATTGATCATATTTTTTTTCTATAAAAACAACTTCAAACGCATGTGTTTGGAAAAAGAGGAATCTTTTTATTCATTATTTCTAAGCAATACAATATACTTTCTCTCTTTATTACTTTGGCAAGGTACTTTGTACTTCGTTCCTATCAAATTTATTTACTTCTTTTCTTGGTTAATTTCCCTTTCGAATTCTCATATTCATTTCCTGATTTTACAAGAGTTTTTCTCCACTGAGATACTTAAAGACAATCGAGTGTGAATCCTACATCCACATTATGTGCTCATTCATACAGATACTTTAAATCATTTTGTAACATGTCATTTATCTTTACATTGTTCCAAGTCAAACATGCTTAATTGTTTAGTAATGTATATGGGTTACATAAAAAGAGAAGTCCAATTTTATACTATAAATAATCAAATCAATTCTTTTTAGCAATTAGCATCTTCACACCCATCAAAATGTTTTAGAACTAAGACCATGACTATTTATAGTTTTAAAAATGGTTTTTGGTTTTTGGGTTTTGGTTTTGAGTTTTTTTTTTTTTTTTTTTTTTCGATATTAACTTTTTGAAATAGAAACCGAAAATTTGATGTAGATTCTATCTTAGATTTTGTTTATTAATCTATTAGCAAACCTTTTTAAAAATTAGTTTTTAAATAGTTTTTGCTCCAGTCCACATCGTCAAAAGCCTCGCACTTGGAGAAAGTTAAGAACTGCCCAATAAGAAAAGCTAAAGGAATAATTAATAGCGAAAGAACTCCAAAGCAACAACATTGATAGCTCTTCCTTACGAGCAACCGACTAACACTTCCATAGAACAGTTTGGCGATGAAGAAGGGCTACTGACACGAGCCTCAGAAATAACCCAAAATTTGATTGCCTTTAGATAAACTAATGGCCCGAAAAGGGAACTAATTCGAGCTCACACAACCACCTCCACAGTAGAAACGAAGACAGCGAAGCAAGAAGATTAGAACATAGAACCTAACCAACGCGGTCACCTAATCAAGGAGAAGCCTTAAAATCTGAGAGAGAAAAAGGCCAAAAAAGACCGAAACAGCGCTGGTTTGAGACTTCACCTTCATTTATAGGAAGGAGATAATAGGGAACATTTGGGCCTCCTCTTTAAGTTCTGTGATCTTTTTCTTCTCAAATTTGTTCATTCGCTAACTTGGTTTACATCTCTTTTCAAAGCATAGGAGCAAAGACTTTTGTAAATGTCTTTAAAGTTGATAAATCAATTACTCATTTCATCCAAAAAGACTTAAAAAAAAAAAAAAAGGCCAGCTTCCAAATTCTCATAAATTGTGGTTTTTGGCTCATTTAAATAATTAAAAAAAAAACTATGAAAATCTCGATTTCTTAAGTTTTAGGAAAATTATTTCTGAAAAGTCTTGAATGGGTAATAAATTAGGTTCTTGAGAATCAAAACCAAAAACTAGTAGTCCCTCTGTTTCTAAATAATGTATTTTCTAGGAAAAACTTGTTTTAGGTTTTCTATGCAATATTTATTAGTTATTATTGATGAATTGTAAACTTCAAAAAAAAATTTGAATAATTTTGGATAAGAATTATAGAAAATTGCAAATCACAAAAAATAATACATTTATAATCATCTTTTAATATGTTTTTTTAATATGTGTAAAACTCGAAAAAATACATTATTTAGAAATAGATAAAGTATGTAATTTATTTACTTCCTAATGTGGTCATCATGATCATGGCATGCACTGAAAATCTTAAAAATTATTTTTTCGATAAAGTTTTTCTCAATTAGTATATACTCCCTCTATATTATTTAAATGATGTTTTAGAGATTTTTTTTTTTTTAAGTGGTGTTTTCAACTTTCTATATAAAAATCAAATATATATAATTTTTTTTAACCTATGATATTTTACAATATATTTTCTTATTGGTTGAATTAGTTGTATATTTAATGATATTTTTATGTAAAAGAGCAAAATTAAAAAAAAAAATTTGATTTCTTAATTAATATGTATGCAAAAAATTTAAACATCACTTAAAATGAAACAGAGAGAATATATTTTTTTTTGTCAACAAAGGGAGTATGTTTTATTTGTTTGATAACCAAAATTTTGATCAAAATTGGCAAAACAATTTTCTATCGTGTCGGTTAAATGAGCGAAAACTGATAGTTGACTAATTTTGCTTAAGTCAATGTAGTTTTTCACTCGGATCTAATAGTTTGGGTAGTTTTTTTGAATTTGTTTAGAGTTGGAGTTGAAAAATGCATTGTATCTTTGTTGAGGTATAAAAACGCACTTTGCAATTTGTTTAGGTTGAATTACGCCATTTTCCCAACAAAACTGTATATAAGTGATGGTTATTTCGTGCATGATTTATAGAAATAATATAGTACTATCATGTAAATTAATGTGTAAGTAGATAAAATAACATAATATTTGTTAATACACACAAAATCATTAAAAAAAAACACATGCAATAAATAAATAAACTTATTTACGATTTTGTTATCCTTCTTTTATAGAACAATTCTTGTGTTCACCACTAGGGGTGAATCTTTTTATTCACCTTTTTTTTAACCAATCAGAATCTGTCATGTAAATAACAAAATAAAATTAAACGCATTTTATTGTAAAATAAAATCTAATTACTCTTTTATAAAACCTAAACAATCATTTCAACACATTTAATTGTAAAATCTAAACCATAACCACTTTTATAAACCCAAACCGACATATAATCTCATTTAATTATAAATCTAAACCCTATTCCTCTTTTATAAACCTAGAACGATATCTAACCTCGTTAATTGTAAAATATAAATCCTAATAATCATCCCTTATAAATCCAACCGACATACAACTTCATTTAATTCTAAAGTATAAACTCGAATTCTTCTTTATAAACCCAAACCGACAATTAACCTTGTTTAGTTATAAAATCTAAACTCTAACCCTTTCTTATAAACCCAAACCGATATATAACTTATATAATTTTTTTTTATATTTACTTACTAGGTGACAGATTCTGATTGCCTAGAAAAAATAGAGGGGGGGGGGGGGGGAGGGGGGAGGGAATTGAAAGGTTTACACCCCTATGATCAAGAAGAGGGTAAACCTTTGTTGTATTGGATCAAGAAGAGAGTAAAACATTATTTTATAATGCATATTATCTAATATATAAAGAGATAGTGGAAGCCCCCTTGGCCCATTGGTTGATCAAGGGTTAATTAATGCTTATACACCCAGAGGTCTGGGGTTCGAGTCCCAGATACTGCAATTTATTAATAAATCTGCAGATTATTGGAGGCAAGTGTGCAGGAGATCTCCAGCGATGTACAATTATAACCGTTCGCCAGGATTCTACGCAGAGAGAGAAGTGTCCATCAAAAGCATGAAGAAGGAGGTGAAGGAGGTGTCGTCTGTCGTGAATCTAATAAGGGTCGGAAGGAGTTGTCTGTTGTAGAATCGTCTATGTAACAGTTCTCATAATTTGTAATAAATAATAAATCCAGACGATAAAAAAAAAAAAAGAGATATTATATAGTATTTACTATTTAATTTTGTTGATATATAAAAATAATTTATGCAAATAAAAATCGACATTGGCCTGACCAAGTTCGGTACAATGTTACTAACATATGCAGAAGGAATTGTTTCTCTCCATACTCAAATACCTAACATTGTACGTTCATGATGATACATTTCACATGTCATTTCAAAACTATTAACCAGCCAAATATATCCAACTTTCTTTTCGTATGAAGATATCTAACTTCCTCATTTGTTTTCGTTAATTTTGAATTGTTTAACAAACTAAATTTGACAATAATACATATCTTTTTGGAAGTAAACTTTTGTTCATTTTTATTTGGCATTTCTTTGTTTTTATTCGTTGGTTTGCTGTACTTTATGGAGAATTTATTAATTCAGATTAATTGCGACCTATTTATGATTCTCTAAAACACTTAACATCAGAAAATCACAAGCCATTACCATGTATGATCATTAGTTCTAACAGTTTTTTAATAAATCAATTAAAATATAATTTTGTCTCCATCATAGCAAGTTAGCAACCAACAAGGATTAGATTTGTGGGCCTCTGCCTCCCAATTAAATTCAAATTTATTTGCCTATCTTTTTATCATGTCATATAAAATTTGAAAAATATATCTGTTAAAGCTAAAAGGTTAAAATATTTAAATATATGCTATTTTAAATTAAGAGCTGGGAAGGCATATCCCTGAAAAAAATGGTTTTCATCATAGCAATATTAAGAAATTCTGAGCTTAAATAATCTAATCGGTCTCGAGTTAACATGCACTTCACATAAAGTAAATACATTAATATATGAAATATTGCTTTAAGATAATCATGGGAAATAGTGTGAGACTTAACTCCACCATTTCTATTTAAAAAATAAAGATATAGGAGTGGTCTCAAAAGGATCAATTTTAAACCTTTTTCATTCCCTCCCAAAAAAAGATTTATATTATACTTATATATACACACATATATATATATATGTTTAATTTAGTTTCCTTTTTAATAATGAATAATTTAATTAGTTATTGTGTTACTATATTCATCTACCTTATCACAAGACAGGAACCTTCTATATATGTTAAGGAACAATCAATATCATTCATTCATTCATCAGTAAATACTAAATACACATATTAAATTTGTTACAAATTCCTTTCACAATACACTTATTAACAATTGTCTTAAGTGGACATTGAATTGAAACGACATATGCTTTGTCATCAGCTTCGACAACATAATCAAAATACAATAATATGACCCAAACAGAAAAGAAATCAGACAATATATTACATTAAAAAAAAAACAATAATCTTAATATTTCACTTCAGAAGCCTAACCTTTTCCTAAACATTCTCAAACCCCAAAAGCATCCAATTATAATAAATCTTTCACTGCTTCCACCACCTCCAATCTATAAATCTCTAATAGTTTCTTCTTAAATTCACAAAGAAACACAAGCCCTTAATATTAAAGAAGAAATAAAAAAGCAAATATAATATTTTCAGATTAATCTGTATATGTAACACACAAAGACACAAACACACTCATAGCTAGCTCTAGATTTTTCTTGTCTAATTTCCAGTAGAAGGAGGTGAATTACAGTCGCAAACAACCTCGGTTTCAATTTCTCTTCGATGGAAACTGCGGTGGCAGCCACAGGCGGCGCACGTTAGTGCTGCCAGGGTACCTTCCTCGCCTCGGCTTGCCATAAACTCACGGCAGCCGTCAACAGCGTAACCTCCCACGGCCGCGGCATGGTTCTTCTGACACTCGCCGTATCTCACAGTTCTCACCGTCAGAGACGAAGCCGTGGACGAGCTTCTAGAAGGTTCCTCCGGCGAGGCTCTCCTCAACACCACCTGACGCTTCCTCATGCTTTCTCCCTTCAATTCTCCTCTTAGCTCCTTCTTCTTGATTGTTTTTTTTATGAAATCTAAACTTGTAATATTGCCTATATATTAAAGAAGAAGAGAAAAATATATAATAAGTTTTTGTTCTTTTACTTTAATTTCTACGGTTGGAAATAGTTAGGGACTGAAAGATCAAAACAATTACAAGAAGACCTCAGCTGTTAACCCTAACCCTAGATGTGATATTTATAGCATTTCTGATAGCAATCGACAACCAACCTTAGATATTTTTTCTGCAACTGCATATGTTTGTGTGTGTGTGTGTATGTGTGTGTGTAGATGTACATGTCCATGGTATATATTGATGCATCATCACAACCAATCAAACCTACCAAGCTAATCTACCTGAAAAAAAAACTTTGGATGGGTATATTTATATGTATATCTGTCTTTTGTAATTAAATTGCTTTTGACCACAACTATGCATTCAATTATAATTACAACTTTTGTTTTCTTGTTACCAACCTAAATATGGTAGATGTTTTATTTTTGGCTCATGTTATGTAAAATACAGATTATGTTTATAGTATCGTAAAATTTTTATTGGATAACATATTGCAATAATTCAAACAAGTTATCGCAACTAGAGGAAACTGAGTAAACTATGCTGAATCGAAATTGTAATTTTACTACTCTGAGTTAAGAAAGAGATTTTATTTGTCATCGTTCTGATTTTCGATCCGAATGGACGGACCAAAATGTCCATAACTCCATAGATATATACAAAAACAAATCATTCACGAGACATGGAGCCACCACTTTTGAGTTAGGCACCCGTCTTTAGTTGATAGTATCACCCTTATACATTGTATTTGGATCTTCCAAACGTCTGCTAGATTCCACTTTCTCAAAATATATACTCGTACATTCCAACAAATATATATTGTGCACTAACTAGTAATCATAACCATAAGAAATGGAATAAAATTAAGTGGATGCAGAACTAGAACCTGCAACAGTATATATCTATTACACAAAAATCAAATTATGTTCGATTTTTTTGCGAGAAAACCCTAAAATGATGAGAAAGCTTTTCTTTAAGACCAAACAAAGTGATTGGTTTTAAAAGGAAGGAAACAGCTAAGCTTGTCTTTTTAAGACCTAATATGTACTGTGGTGGCCCCTTAACATTCATCCCCTTTAATCCTCTTTTTATTTCCTTCTTCCATTCTATTTTAATTCATAATTAGACATGTGCTTACGAAAATTATTTATACGTACGTATCATAAAGAATCGGACTTGGTATGGGGATCGAATATATGCATAGACCAAAAACTGTTTATGTCGGCTATGTGATATCTTGACCCGGCCACTTTAGTATACTCGAGAAAATGTACGGATTTAATTCAAGAATTCGATTTTGTGTTGTAATCTAAGCACCAATCAATATATTTAGATTGTATGATGAATATGCATGAACAAAAATAGAAGTGTGTATAAATGTATATACATTTGGACCTAACAACGTGGGACTGATAAGTTGGGCTACCAAACCTATTTTGTACATCATGAGGACAACGCAATCCTTCACGATCGTTTGCTTCTTTGCAATTACGTATTGATTTTTTTGAATTACACATGCATACATTCATTCGTTTTTCGGTTAGACATCAAATTTTCTTACTCATATGTTCCATCAATCCATTGATATTTATATGAGATATACATTGATATTTTCTCCTTCGGAACTAGATATAAACAAAGATCATGAGATGCTTCAATGAGAATAGCAGAAAAATGGAATTCAGAAAGTGGCCCTCTAAGGAAAGGAAAAAAATGTATATCTTATCGTGAGCCCTAGAATCAGTTTGCCTAAAATCACTTGATGGAACAGGAGTTCGAGTTTGAGTTATATGAAAATAGTTACACGACTAAACGGTTTTTTTTTTTTTTGACTATGACTAAACGTTGTAGTTTCATTGTTCCACACTAAACGTTGCTTCATGAGATTATTGATTTTTAGTAGACGTACTCAATACAATGCTTACTTCATATATATATCTGCAAGTTTTGACATCAATATCTATACTTAGTAGACACGATTACGGAAAACAATCTCATTAAATTTTCATTCTATGAAACAAAAAATATTCATTATATGAAATATTTGTAGATTAATTAGGATTTTAAGACGTAAACAAAACAATGCATGCATGCGTAAATAAATGTATAAAGCAGAGGCAATGTCAAACTAACAAACCCATTATTCTGTTGATTTGATAAGATTGTTTCTGTCTAACGATAATTAGGAGTCATACGACATATATTTGCGCCATAAGTTAGTAAAGAAATTATAGGCCAAACATAACCTTTTTAGTAGTTTTATTTATGATTTATACATAAAGAATTAAAACTCAAAGCAAATGTTTCATTCCCTTTTTGGCGTTTTAATCAATTTACAAATATACTTATAGTCGGATCACCTCATTCGGATAATATATAGTGATCAGAAATTTAATGATCAATAATAATAAAAGCATTTCCAATCGGGGATGTGCCTTTACTACAAGAAAAATTGTATATTCCAACGGACATATTAATCAGTAATTCATGGGAAATATAGGTTTGCAATAAATTTCCAATAGAACATACATTTGTTGGAATATGATCGTTGGAAACCAGTATTTGTCGAGAATTTGTTAGAAATATTTCCGTCAAATACTTTTTGTTAGTAATCTGTTAAAACTTTCTGATGAATTATTTGTTGGAATTATGTTGGAATTTAGTTGGAATTTAGCGTAGAGTTTCCAACGAATTGTTGTTCCATCAAATATATTGTTAGAATGTTATCACTAGTTTGCGACAAATATTCAACAAATCAGATAGTTAATTTGTTAAAAATTACTCATAATGTATTTGTGGGAAATTTCTTGATAAATTTTATTGAAAAATAATTTAAAAATAATATATTGTAATAAATATTTGATTTATATAAATATTATAAATAAATTATTATATAAATTTTAATTTTGATTACATTTATTAATTAGAGAAATATAAAAATATTTATATTTGGTCATTTAAAGATTTATTAAAATCTGAAATATCCTTATTGGATACTTCTGAATTTTTTCAAATATTACTGTTGCTATAACTGGATAACAAATGATTTTACAAAATATGAAGACATAATACTAATATATATAGCAAATATATATTGCTTCTTTATCCCTTTCTTTCGATGTGGGATGTGGGAGGTGGGAGATGTCTACGTGCATCAGTGCATGTCTTATTAGACATGCTATTATTATGTTCTCAACTTATATTGGTTTGGCTAATTAATATTTTAGCCAGTTAGTGTTAATTATTACAAATTTTATTGATGAAAATTAGTTTTATTTAATAGCAAATGATTTAACTAATTCAAATTAAGATAAGATAATATTATTATTTGTCACAAAATCATCAGAAATATTTTCCAACAAATATTTTGTTAGTAATTTCCAACAACTTAAAAGTTATTGCTTCTATCCAACAATATATAATATTTGTTGGAAAATTCCAATAATATTCATACAAATTATACAACGTAATTACCACAACTAAAATTTGTTGGAAATTTGTAATGAATTTCAAACGATATAATATTTGTTGGAGATTTTCAACGATTTTCCTACAAAGTATGCGATGTAATTGTCACAATTATAATTTGTTGCAAATTTGCACTGAATTTCCAACAATCTAGTATTTGTTGGAAAATTTCCACAATTTTCCTATAATTTATGTGATGTACTTGCCATAACTTAAATTTGTTGGAAATTTACAATAGATTTCTAACAAATATAATAATAAACGTAATTTTATGGGATATTCATTGGAAATTTCCAACAAAATCCGATTGTTAGAAACATTTGTTGGAATATGCCATGTTTTCTAGTAGTGGTTGGAAATTTCCAACAAAAATGTGATGTACATTTGTTGGAATATGCCATGTACAATTGGTTCGAAAGATGTAGAAATGGTTGGGAACCCAGGCTTCTATCAATATTGCTAAAGTCTTGTCTATCCAGGAGTTAATGAATTCCACGCCGAGGCATTATTACGATGAACACGGTGTAGTTGGTCCTTTTATAGATAATGAAGTTAGAATTTTAAATGTTTATGCTCTTGCCCATCATTTTAGAGAGAGTGGAACAGTATACGAAGAAGATTGTCCTATCACTGAGGAGCAGGTTTTCCTGGATGAGAGCACAACGACTGAGGTAAAATGTTCTCTCTCCTTCATTCTCTTTTCTCTTTGTTAAATTAACCTTTAATTAATGTTGTTTTCCCTTGATACAGGGATGTGAGAGAATTATCCCAAGCATTTGTGATAATTCTAGTCAATTTAAAAATTTAAATTTATATATATATATATATAATTTTAAATTTTAGTTAATAATAATTAATTCTATATAATGATTTCTGAATTAATTGCGTATGGCCGACGGTCAAGATTGAAGATTAAAAACCGGATTAAGATTTGAATGGCCACGATTAAATGTAGGGATTGTTGAGATCTTTTAAGAGAATCGAATTGAATATGGATGTAGTTGTGGCAAAGATTAGTTATGCTTAATATATTAGGTTAAGATTTTTGCAAATGATTTTTTATGTTAATATCTTTGATTTAATTTTGAAAATCTAAATAATTAATGTCAATGATATTTAACCGTAAATAAGTTGGAATTCCAGGATTTATTTCATAAATGTCTCCAAAAATGTATATATAGATTTTAAAATTATTGTAGACATTAGATATTAATCCTCAAAAAAAAATTGATATCATGATTTAAGTTTTAGTAATTTTTCTGGACACTCATTCAAGAAAGTTTTGTGGATATTTTAATATCCGATGTTGTAAACCTTTATCCGTCTTTAATTCAAAATTAAATTTCATATTATAGAAACAATTTGTAGCATTATGAATTATACTAATGATAATAAAAATAAAACATAATTATTAGAAGTAAAATAAATCATTATATGTACACATTGGTTAACAGAAAAAAAAACATCTAAAAGTAACATAATTGTAGTGAGCTAAATAAAATAAAATCAAACAAAAATTTTACCCAAGCACATTTCAGTTTTAATTTTTCAGACCAATCATCCTGATTGCAAAAATTGAAATATTCCATTTGAGCGAATCGAATCTGGAATATCTCCAACCAAAAAATTATCTGAAATATCTACGATACTAATAAAAATGGTTAAAGTTTTAAGGTATATATATAAAAAGGTTACAAGTTTGTTAATGACTAAGACCAAAGTGGTTGTTAGTGGAGTAATGATG